TTACGTAGAAACACCCCGATAACTTTGATGGGGGGAGGATGTTGGTGGAAAACATACTGCCGATAAGTTTTTAGTTAAATAGCATGGTAAATACATACATCGAACCTGATAACTTAGGTACAAGCACTGCGATATTTTTTTACTTGGGCAAAATAGTTGTTGAATACGCACACCCGATAACTTCCGTATGAACATGATGTCAATAGACACATGGCATAACTTAGGCACAAACACCGTCGTAGCGTTGATGGGGGGCGTCGTGTGTATGTTTTTTCGACATGGTTGAAGGGGTTGTTAAAGACCATAACCCTGATGACTTCCCTGCAAACAACATGGTAATATACATTGTGCATGAATGATAACTTGTACTAGGTCTGGTAATTTTGACCCAAAAAAGTTGTCGAAACATACCAACATGGGATCTGGTTTTAAAGGTCTCATCATGACGATTTTTATTATATCAAAACGGTTTTTCAATCCGACCGACGGTTTGAGCTACAAAATATTCTGAAGTTTCAAAATAAAAGAGAATCTTTTGCTAACATCATCGCATTTTATATTAGTTCACATGCATATGGCAAGGCGCTGCATGCTCTTGCTCTCTTTTTTTCTTAGCAGAGCGGGGTTGCATGCACGTGGTTAGGTAGACTAGGATGTGTTCGGATATGTTGCTTAAATGCAAGTTACACAAAGCACGCGGACAAATCTGTATGTGGAAAGAAATTCTAATAATATAATTTTCACATTAAACATCTCATTTATTATTAATCTTATCAATAGGCAAAGGCAGTCTTAAAAAATGTATTGGGCTATAAAATGTATGGATGCAGGGAGTATGCAATGAAGACTTTGCCTAAAAAAAGTGCACATTTTGAACAACTAGATATATATTTTTTAGAACATTTTTTTTCGAATACGCGCGAGTATGTGTATCATATTATATAGATAGAAGGGTGGGTAAGGACCAAAAACCACAGTAGATGATCCAAGAAAACGAATAACATCGAGCACGCGAGCCGTAGCTCCATCCTCAACGAAGTGATCACGCTACAACTAGTCGCGTGTCGCCTACCCAAATAGCTCCATGGCTATGCCGATCCAATCCCGCTTGAGCAGTCCAGCTTGATGCCAGACAAAGCCTGGTGACCACCTGTAGCGAAGGCGAGGCACCCTCAAAGACTATGGAGTTCTTGTGTTTAAAGGGAGACGCTAGGCATCAGACTACCGTTAGATTAGGTTGCTTCTGTACGTTGGATTAGTACTTAGAGGTGAGTCTGTTTCCATGTGATTGCTTCCTACGGCCAATTACAGCCTCAATTCTCATGTAATCTGCTCTCACACTAACTACACCACAAAATCACGGGAGGATGAAAATGTAATGCTATTTATTTCATATAAATACTTCCCTTTCTTTCATATTCTGGTACTTCAGAATATGTTCGCCTCCACTGATACTAAATTTTGTTTCTATCGATACTAAAATGTGCTTCCACTAAAGGTTAAATTTGCTTTGATCTAACAAAAAAATTGTCCAGTGTAATATTTTTGTTTGCTTCTTGTGAAGTCAAAATATGTTTCAACAACTTGATTTTCTTATTTGTAACTAAAATTTGCTTGGATCTATCAAAACATACAAAAGAAAAGGTTCATATAATTTGCTTCCAGTGCTAATGAAATTTGTCTCTATCTAAGAATATTTGTCCCGTGTGTTGTGGTAATATTTGCTCCCATCCAGAGAATATATGCTTCAAATTGTCTTGAAATGTCACTTGCGGCGACCCGCTTCATCGGCTCAAAAAGCATATTCGTACGCAGTGGTGCTCTCCTAGATCTTGCTATGGCGGCTGTTCTCATCTTTTTCCGGCGTTGCCATGATGACGGTGGAGGACGTTTGTGGACTATGTTTCGGCGATGCACGAGTTTCTTCAAGGGTGGAATAATAGTTTTACCTCTTGTGGAATTCTTTGTGCAAAGTTGCTTGACAAGCATTTCTGTCTCATATGGTGGCCATATGTGTAATCTCTGTGAACAGATTGTCTAATGAAATATATGGTTGCTTAAAAAAATGTCTTGAAATGTGCTTCAGTAAGACATATATTTGCTCCAATGTATTGGTATTGCCGTTATTTGCTTCCAAAATGAATTTCCTCTTCCGTGTGGTTTTCTTAATAAAGAAAGGTTTCCCCAAATGTCTTGCCAATGTTTGCAAAAAAAAAAAATGTGGCCAATGCAATTATAAATTGGAATTGTATTTTCGCATCAAAATAATCAAATACTTGTTTGAGCAGACTAGAGAATTGCTTCTAAGCAAATAAGACCTTTCTATTAAAACAAGAACCATTATCCTGTGTGCACATGCTTCAAGAACAATAGGGACGTGTTTCCATATGTAATACAAATCTGCTCAGTCTGCTTCCATCATAAGCAAGTCATGCTTCCAACACTTTGATGCCCTCCTTTTCTTCCACAAATCTACGGATGTCAGCGCCGGTGAACTACACGAGAGATCAGGCAAGGAGCAGCTAGGGTAGCACCATTGAGTGTCCGACGTTATTGACCTGTGGCCACCGAGTGTGGTCCTTGCTAGTTTGCTTCCAAGCTGATGACAAGAGCACAAGGCACTAAGATGCTCAATCTCATGACACACACCATGCCCAGCATCAACGAGCGCCATGTCCGTCTCACTGTCGCAGAGCATGTTCTTCAGTTCCCATTGGGGTTGCAACAATGTATGATGCACGAGCTGATTGATTTGAATACAAACACGAACCTACAAAACAATATGAAGCACAAAAATGGAGCAAACTGAACACAACGTAGATGTAGAAGTACAAAACATACGAAGCAAACTACCACAGCATAGAAGCTCAAGTATGAAAAATAAGCAAATTGTACACAGTGAGGAAGCATAACTATGATGCCTATGAACTATGAAACAAACTTGACACGACAATGAAGCACGATTACGATATATATGAAGCATGTAAATTGCGAAAGCACCATATCAATGAAATATTAACATACTTTTTTTATACTGCCGTACACTCTGAAAAAATGAGAGTAGCTATGTACACATAATCCATGTTTTTTTGGCATTTGACAGCGAAATATATAGGATCCAGAAGCATCTATATAATTTATTTATTTTTGTGGTTGATCTATATAACAATTTAGATGGTACAGAACTAAGAAGCAGAGATAGTAGTTGGGGACAGATCTGAACATGGATAGAAGCATGCAACTTTGAAATCATGTCGAAATTCGTAGATGAAATAGTGAACCATTGCACATCGGTCATAATACAGATATACTAAGCAAAATCCATCGAAGCAAGCATTGCGTCCAATCTAACCCAAATCAAGTCCAGTGATTAAAAAGGAATCAAACATGAGATAAATCAAATCCTAGTTCGAGTGAGTACATACTAAGGGACCACATCGGGGATGTGCGTGCAGCTCCTTTGCCGTCCGAAAACGGCACAACGGTGTGGCAAGAGGGGTGGAGACGGAGCAGGATCTGGCTGGGGCTCGGGGCGGAGATGGGGATTATGCGGTCGGGCGGAGTAGACGGGTGGTACGCCACACCAACGACATGGACCAGCTGTAGGCATGGCGGAGGTAGCCGAGCGTGCTCGTCGGGGATGGAATCGCCTGTGGGGGAGTTATTTACACAAAACCACCACACTTGGGCTAGGGTAACAACTTCGTACCACATTGAAGGCAGGGCACAAAAAACCACCGAAAATGCGCCTAATGCGTAACACGGAGCACTGACACTCCAACTTGGACTTGAAAACAGCGAAACCGACAGATGGGGCCTGCCTGTCGGGATGAGGTGTGCTTGTGTGGACAATATGTTGAGTTGGATGAGGGTCCCACTTGTCAGTGACTCAAGTGATTATTAATTTTTCACCTTTTCTTTTTCGTTTTTCCTCGTTTTCTCTCTGGCATTTAGCCGAACAGGTTGTGAGCGCTAGAACATGGACATCATCGGCGTAGCCATGAGAGAGGATGTGCGCAACGACGACGCCTGACTAGGACGTCGTGTCGGGAAACCAGGTAGTGTATGCGGGCCGCGTCCTGGAAGTGGTAGCCCGTCGGAGGTGGACGCGGACATAGCCGGTGCGGGATCTCGCCGGAGCTCGGCGTGCCGCCGCTGTACCTGGCGCCTGGCCGCGGAGAGGCGCATGGGAACCACAGTGCTCACACGGCGCGAACAGCAATGGCGGCCGGCGGCAAGGCGTGGCCACGAGGAGGCGCGCGCGAGAACCATAGTGAGCACGTGCAGCATGAACACCAATGACGGTCGGCGGCAAGGCGTGGCCACGGGGAGGCGCACGAGAACCGCAGTGCGCACGCACGGCACGAACAGTTATGGAGGCCGGCGGCATGTTTGGGTCACGCAAGCGCGCGTGGAGTGCGTTCGTACGACCAAGGTTAGCCATGGC